ACCTGGAAATATAAGCTCTGAAGCTCACCTAAAAGATGACTTCTGACTTCTATTATTACATTCATTGTAATCTCTGAACTTGCTGCTATATTAATAAACAAGTATTTTGAGTTTCATGGCAGAGAGAACAGGTACATGTATGATTACATGTTTTCAATTTAAAATTATGGGTAAAACCGTAGATCAAATGGATTATTCAGGGAATGTGCCATGGCATAGTAGTAGCCTGTGCAGAACGCCTTCATAAGAACCAGTTAAAAATGGCTGTTAGCCAAAAGAGAGGAAAAAAGAAATATTTGTGGCCAGCCTTTACACAACAATGGCCCTTGGAAACCAGCTGGAACATCCTTATAGGACATTCAAGAACATCCAATGAGTTCAAAATGACACCTGAAAAGAGGAGAAAGCTAATTCATATAACCCTATGAAGGTGAAAATGAAAGAGGGAGAAGGCAGCAAATGATACAGAAGAGAGTTTAATGATTTGTTAAAAACATGGTTCCAAAGTAGGTCCCATGTAATTTCTGCAGAGACGGTCATCCATGCAGCTCTGTGGATACTGTGACTTTAGGCAATAGGCAGCAGCAACAACCGGACACCCTAGAGATGTTATGACAGACCACAACTGGTTTGAATACTGCACAGATTTCGCAAAGACACAGTTATCGCTGGCTGTGGCCAGGGTTTAGGAGCAGATTATCATTTGGATAGTTCCATATGCATATCCTGTGGCTTACCACCAGGATTTGGGTCACAATCCCAACAGCACCCCAAAGCATTCAGCAAATCTGGCTCCAGGTTTTCCATATAAAAACCTGCAAATATCAATGAACGGAAATGTGTTATACCCTAGGGATTTCTTTTAGTGAGAGGGAAACAACTGTATCCCTAACCTCATGTACTTCTAGCAACACTAAGTTTTGGGACAAAATTTTAACAAGATACTATTTTTTTTTGTTTTTAAAAAATATAGACATAAGATTTTTTTAAAAAAAAAATGAAGCTCTTACCACAGAATGTGTCCCAGAAGGCAGCCCAAGCCCACTGCCAGGACTGAGGCTGCACACCATTAGACCAAAATAACTACAAGGATGTACATAAACATCACATGCGGGGTAAAAACAGAGAAGAAAGGACTACAGTAAATAAGCACAGCAGGCTATCACAGCAAGTTAGGCCCATTTCAAGATGCATTGCTGGGTTTGTTCATATTGCAAAAGTCTGAGGGAGCAGAGGAACAGACAGCAGTAAGGCTGTAGCCAAGAAACAGCGCAGGGTGTAATTTGTAAATCACAGTGAAGGGTAAAGCAAAACCTCAGAGTCAGAAATGAAGTTCACTGAAATCAGTTACTAAATTAAGACAGACATCCATTCTTTACCCTTCTTATATATTACTAGTTGTGAATGCTAGAAAAAAAAGATCTTTTTAAACTGAAAGCAACACTGACGAAAAGTCAGGTGATTTCCTGAGCCGATACCTGGAATGATCGGCAGCTTTGCAATTCATAACCTGTAACAACCAGGCTGCCTCTCACCCTGTGCTGGGGTCGCAGGGGCCGTGCCCTCAGCTGCCGCAGGTGGCAGGAAGCAGCAACTGCTCCCCTGATGCCTGCCCGGCTGCTGCCCATGGCCAGCCTAGGGATGGTTGAGGTATTTTTCTTTTTCCACAAGCCCCTTCTATCCTCAGCAAGATGAATTCAACTATTTTGTGAGTAGGTACCAAATAACGTTTTCGCAGAAGTGCAATACTTAGAGGGGTCTGTTTCAACGTAATAACTTTTACTTGTAAATCCTAACAGTTTAAAGTAATTTTCCCTTATATAAAGGTCAAGCCCATTATTCTTCTGGGAGAAGGGCAAGGGACAACATTGGACAGAGTCATTTGAATAGTCCATTTTCAAAGAAAATGAAAAGTGGAACTTCAGGAGTCTTACATTAGAACTTCTCTTTCTTTTAGCTGGACAGTAAATAGCCTATGTAAAAGCAGTAAAAAATTAAATTTTGAGGACCAGGATAAACGAAATATCTTCCTGTGTGTTCAGGTACCTCTGTACTTTTCATATTTCCCAAGGAGTTACTAACCTATTGCATTTTTCTTCAGATTAATAATTTTGTGTGACAGACAAGTTCAGGTCAGAGTTTAACTGTTCTCTTCAGTGAATGGAGCAGAAGACATTGTTTGTGTTTCAAATTACTGGTGTAGCTTATAATGTAGTTGAGCCTCCAAATAATGTACCATCTAAAACATAGAGGAAAAGCATTAAGGTAATGGAAACTCAAGATTTCTAATGTTCTAAACATATAAATAGAACCCAAGTCAGTACATTAGACAATTGACTGGCTTTACTGGGGTGCATGCAGGAATAAATGGAAACATCCTTATTTCCTATCCCAAGGGGAAATTATTTCAGAGCCTGGTTTTGTACATTAATAAAAAGCAAGATTCCATTGTCTGGTAGCTAAACTATCTTACTATATATGCTGTATAAGAAGTCCAGCAGCAGAAACAGAAGAAAAACCAAGAACCTCAGCATCACATTGTCTGAATGAGTTCTTACCATACCTAGCATATTTCTGTGTGTATATGTAATCAATAGAATGTATCATCAGAATGGCATATTGTTTGTATATTTTAGAAGTTCTGTTAGTCATCATATGTCCTGGCTGTGCATGTGTCAACAGATCATCCAAAATGCTTATTTCTCAAATGCTGCAACAGAGTCCAAACAAATGCAAAAACTGGAATTTCACACCTCTTTAGTAGAGAAGGACTGGACTACAACTCAAAAAAAGCAGTTCTCTCCCAGCTCACCACTGATATATTCACTCAATTCTTTCAGTTCCCTTTTCTTTCCTCTCCCTGCACACCTTCAGTAGTTTGCCTTTACCCTTCAGAGGAAAAAATAACAACAGAAAAGGATTTTATAAACAAAGTATTCAGAAATTATTCACATTGCCTTTTCCCCATACCCGTGAGAGAAACACATTGCCATGACAGGAACCAAATTCTTACTCGCAGTTCTGTCCCTCCAGTGTCACCATTCATACTGCTTGCCCTAGCTACACACCTGACAGATTGATCAGGTGTCAAAATGCCAAGGACAGACTAAAGCCCAGGTTCGTGTTGTTCCTTTTTCAGATAGCACTTGCCTCAGATCCTGACTCAGAACTACGGCAGAGAGTACCTTTGGAGACTTCCTGCAAAACGCTCTCAACTTCCTCAAATTGATGAAATTGGGCTTAAACCAAATGGGAGACTATCATATTTCACATGCCAGGGTTTTGCAATATTTGTCACTAGAGGCAAGATTATTCTAATAAAATCAGATTCACTAGAAGACAAAGCTGATAGGATTGATTTTTATTTGGAGGAACCCTTGCCGTTTGTGTTTGAGGTGCCTATTTAAACAGGCAGCTAGCACAATAATGACATCTTAGGAAGAAAAAAAAAAAGATTCTTGGAGATACATAACGTGTTTAATGGAAACCACTAGTTTTACTGGCAAAGAGCTTCGTATTTCTGTTCTGTTAATCTGAACAAAGTGCTGCAATTATGACTCAATACATAATGTCCTCTAGTGCTACTCGCCCCACATTCCCAAAGTATAGAAAGAAAACAAAAAACTGTTTTCAGTTAACAAAAATATTCCATGCTTCTATCCAGAATACTTTTATTATATGGTTATCATATACATCAGAATTATATTGGGAACATTTACAAATATGTGAAGATAGTTCAGAACCTCCATTATTCACATACACACTAACTCACACACTCATTTTGCATGTCTAGTCAGTTAGCAGGTGAATGATGCACAAAATTATTGCTTTGTGAACATACACCTCAGATTAAATCTAATCTTCAGTGGCAAGAATTGAGATATTTTAAAAAGTCTTAAATACCCTGTATAACATACCTGTGCATAAACCTAAAGATATGTTTAGCTTACCCATTACCTTTGAAATACTTACCAAAATTAAAATTTGAAACCCATTTATAAAAAAAAAAAGTATTAAAAAGTTCACCATTATTTACAAATCCGATTAAATTACACATAAATAAATATTTACATTCAACACACTGCTTCCCTTAATACACATAAAGCCTCCCTGGAAATATTTTTTTGGCCTTAATAGGCAAAAAAAAGAAAAAAGTTATGTGCCTATTCTTTCAAGTTTCCCCCCCGATTTATAAACAAGACAATATAAATATGTGAATAAAGCTGCAATATCCTTACAACACAGAAAGTGAATTTTCTAAAAGCTTTTTCATTTTGAACTATCCCTTGTTAAAAAAATATCACAATAATATTCACTGCAGCCAACATTACTGCAGTTTTTAAAAGCCTGAATATTTCCATAAAAATAAGCATGTCAAATGCCATCAGATAACTTTTAAAGTCTAGCAGGATTTTAGTACTCTCCTATGGTAATCTGAAAATAAAGAAAAAAAAAAAACACAGAATAATCTTACTATTTTCAGTTGTTTATAAAAAATTTTAATGTACATAAATCTATATACCGTTGTTTAATACTGCTTTATTGTTACTGTTGCATTTAGAGAGAATAAAACCCTGAAATTGTATCAGATAACAAATAGGCTTCCATCTAAAAATCTGTATCTTAAAAACTATACATGAAGCCGGTCACCACTAGATACTTAGATGTGGATAAGAAATCTCAGTATATCTCTTTGAATGTTTCCATCAAAACCCCTTTATAGCACCACTTTTACAGCAAATTATTTCAATACACTTGACCAAGTACTTATCTTCTGGTAATTGCTTCCACAGATAAGGGATACTGCAGCTTTTAGAAAGACTTGTCTCATGGATCCAGGGGGAGTGAAGATCCTGAATGAGTTTGTCTTTTTCCCTCTCCTTTCTTAATTTAAAAAAAAAAAAAAAAAAAAAAAAGACACCAAATCTCTATGTTCCCCCCGGCAAGAAGATCCCAGTCTGTGTTTAGGAGGAAGAGTTTAAAGTCTGGTTTCTCTCCTTTTACTTCCTGTGCTTATCCATTTTATCGATGGTTTTGTTGGTTTCTGCAGGGCTCTGGTCGCCAGCGTTCATGTACGTTTTGTCTGCTATTTTTAATGCTTCATTTAGGTAGTTCTGGACGGATGTCATGGCAGCACAGATGGCAGCACTGCCAAAGCCATGTGTGATCAGGCTAAAATGAGTCAAACAGCCCTGGATACCAGGGTCCAAGATGGGACTAGGTCTCGTGTTTCCAAGAGGAGTTCTGTCCTGAGTGAGGAGGTCTGTGAATTCCTTGCAAATCTGCCTGCAGGATACAAAGGGATCACACTTTATCCCACAGTGGGAATTTATGCAAAACCAAACAAATAAACAAAAGCAACAGAGAAAAATTCATATTAAATATTCGGGAATTTGTTTTCAGAAATTCATTACTCCCTCAGCAGCAGAATCTAAAATTAAAGCCTATTTATTATTAGCACCAGTTTCTCATGAACCTTCTGTTACCTCTCTGACACAAAACCACATGCACGCTCTGCAAAATAATCTCTTCACCTCTGGTGTCTGGCTGACTCTGCATCATTTGCTCTACATTTTAAGGGGGAGAGGGAATTTAGGGCTAGTTTCTACGAGAACTTCCACGACTGCAGTTAAATGACTTAGAATAAACCATCTGAGTAAGAGATTCAATTTAGTTGTGCGTATTACATGTATATGCCCTCTTTAAGAGAGACCTGGGCCCTGATACTGCAAACACGAACACATATGCCTGGCAAAACAGGAATGGTTAATAACGCTCAAGCATATGTTGTTTGCTGCTTGTAAATCTGTCCCCCTTGATGGGATTTCACAGGAGCCGAGCAATCTTAACAGAATTATCACTTTCTCAGAATTTCTTAGCCACAAACATCTTCCAAAATATAATTATTAGTGCCAGTAATAATACCAATAATGGAAATACTGAAGAGCGGAAGGAGAAGCGCTCAGTAAGATGCATAAGGTTCAAGCTATAGGAAAGAGACTACACTTCAAAACTTCTAAGAGATATATTCTTGCAAAAGAAGGGCTCTTTTCCAGGAAGGCTGGATTAATGCAGCAGCAGGAGTGCGGTTTGCATGCCCAAAGTCAGAGCAACTCTTCTCAGAGGTTTAAGCAGCTTTTCTCAGATCCTCTGCAAAGCAAGGGTGTGCCTTCAAAAGTAAGGAACTGCACCAACCCCAAACCAGAAAACATCTCAGACCGGAATGTATCACGAACTGAAGGCTTTGTTAAACCTTGGCTTTGTTAAACCTTAGCATGGAAGAAGAGGGACAGTTGGCACTCCAGCCACTGGTTTAAGAGAAGCATAACTCCACACAGGTATTTCCTACCAGCGACCTGTTTAGGACGTGGTTTATTTACAGTTACCAGTGTCTGCAGATCAGCCAAAGCTCCTCTTTCGCTCTTCCACACTCCTGTTCATCAAGCTTTGCAACACAATTTTTCTTGAGTACAGGGACTTTTCATGTCTACCAAGGGGTTGGGTTTCACTAAACTACAAAAATCTTTAGCTGTAATAGTGAAAAAGGAATACCCATAGTCCTCAATTCCTAGAGTCTCACGGGAGAAACCCATGTTCTCCTGTTCCCTAACACGGTTATGGGGACACGGCAGCTGAGCTTCGCTGGTAACTCGCAAACCCACCAGTAATTCTTCTTGCAGATGCCCCTCTGGGCAGCACACACACAAGGGTGGGTGCACCATCCCCTGCTCCCAGTCACAGGCACTGGTTCACACTCCCAGGCCACTCCTGACCTCCAGGTCCTAAACCCTGCCAGACCTAGGGACATTTCTTAGATATAGCTGTCCTGGTATAGTATCTTTTCCAAAGTTTCTACTACAGTTAAAAAGAAAAGGAGCAGAACTGATCCAAACAGCTTTAGAGTTGTTGAATAGTGTTGTTATTATTATTGGTTCAGACTAAAATCCAAAGCAAAACTAAAAAAAAAAAAAAAAAGGCTTCATCTCCCTGATTAAAATTACACATGAAAACATACCACAGTGTTTGCAGTCACAGACATTCATGATCCTGCAAAAGTAACTTTCAAAAGGAGAAGAAAAAAATAAATTTAAAAAGTCCAAGCCCAAAACTTACTTTGCAGCAAGAAGCATATTCTTCCTGTTTGCCATTTCGTTGCGGCCCATGTGTGGTCTAGTTAAATATTCGGCCACTGCTTTGGAAGGAAACTCTGTCTCACATACATAACCAAAGTCACGAGCAAGATGTACAGCTTCACCTGGCATGGGTAAAAGGGAATGCTTATTAAATGTAGTAACACCAATTTGTTACAAGGAGATCATAGAAGTTAAGTAAAGTGCTGTGATTTTTTTTGAAGTGTATTCTTGTTTTAGAAAGGGACACTGCTATCTAAGTTACCACTATACCACTCATTACCATTTTCTAATTAATTTATCAGTGTTTCTTTGGAAGTTTGAATCAAGGAAAAAACCCTACATTGTGACTGCCACATAAAACAATTCTCTTGCCTTCATACTGGAAAAAAACCCTCTCCCATCTCTACCCAGATGCAGTTAAGTCAAGAATTCAGTCTAGATCAAATTATCCACTGATATTAAAAGAAACCGGCAACTAAACTCCACTCTTATAGTAAAGTATTCATCAGTTTAGTATATTTTCTAAACACTTTCTTTCTAATAAGCATTTTCATAAAGAAAACAAAATTGCAATGTGTGTAATTAGGCCACTTTTTTTCATTAAGACAATTTGATCAAGCTTTAAAAAAACACAGATTGGCATGATCAGTGCATTACCTGTACTGTACATGTGTGCACGTGCACATGCACACGCATAAGCGTCTCTTAAACCAAACTTCCAAAGAGAGGTTTTAAATGCAAGCTGCTGTATTGTTTGAGCTGATGTAGAAGTGGAATTGTTAGGTAGGTATTAGGGAGGTATTATTAGATCATTTTTCACTTTTCAATTGCTGCTTCTATTAATTCCTATTAAGTTGTACCACTACTAGGAGCTGCTTGAAACAGGAACACAAAACATAACCACACACATACATATTATATATATATACACCCTTCAAGTCAGCGTAAATGATAGAGGGTCCATATAACATGTTACAGATTAAAGCGGCTCCAGTTTCCTATCAGGAAGTCAAAAGCTATAAATCTCACTTTATATGCTTGTTTATTAGAAAAGCTTCTGAGGATACCACAGAGGTAGGGCCAGGCATTGGAGTCAGCTGCCCCAGACTTTTAAAGTTTCCCAACAGGGAGACAAAGGCACTAATGCAATAGGTTTCACCTCTTTTACATTCTCTACCTGTCCATGCACAACACCTTTACAAAAACCCAAACCAACCCCTCGATCTTAAGAAACCCAGACTGGACAAACACGTATTTTGAACGTTGTGGCACACAGGAGATACTGCATCTCTGCCAGCATCCCTGAGACGCAGTCACAAGGAGGAGGAGGATTAGCTGGGCTTGTGCAGGTAGGGCTCTGAGGCCAAGGGCTTAGCAGCCAGATTTGAAGCGAGAAGGAGGGGAGAGGACTCCCTCTCACTTTAAAAACTATTATGTTCATCAACTTTCTAGCCTTTCCATGCTTTGCCCAGAGGATAAAAGTGTTACACAAGCAGGAAAAAAAAGAGAAAAAAAAAAAAAAGAAAGGGGTGTTTTTAAAATGTATTCAAGACTGACCTTCCACCAAAGATGTCAATAGTGTCACATTTGCAGCTTTCCTTCTACCAGCAGGAAGATTCAAGCCAATTTTATCCAGTTTTTCCCTTAAGGATCTACCACCATTTTTAGATTTGGCTCTGTAATTAAAGAGGAAAGAAAAAAACCCCTTTTTTTTTATTTTCAGGGAACACTTCTTTATAAAGATGAGAAATTCCAGTTATTGACATTCAATAGGGTTCTACTGGGGAGAAGACAAACAGGCTCTTTTCAAGCAACCTATTTTTTTTTAAATGCACTACTACAAGCCAGCCAGGATAAAACACAGCAGGTCAAAATCAAAATGTTTCAGAGACTGCACCACTGAAACCAACAGCTGTAGATAATCACAAGCTGAATTAAGTGTATGAAAAAAAAAAAACACAACAAAACCCACGTATAAAGTGTCTTCATAATAATTAATGAAGACCATGAGATTTAATTTAAAAAACATTCCATGGAGAAACAGTTTGTCACAGGAATAAGAAAGCTGCACAAGCCGGTTTTGAGACAAAAATCCACCTTTAAACAGAGAATGAGAGTTGCTGTCAGAGCTGTTAACAGCGCTTCTCGAGAAGTAGCAGAAGTGCAAAGAAGTTTTATTTCCAAAGCCTATTAGGATTCAGCGTTGTTGGGCTTCTTAAAAATCAGAAATTTGCTATAAGGCTTTCTTAGCTCATCATTGCGTTGATCTAGCTCTTCACACGCCCAAGCACGGGGAAACTCTCACGCAATAGCCCCGGTGGGGCTGGTTGCAGGGGCAGTCGCAGCCTTACCTTCTGAGCACTCCTCCCAGCAAGGAGGCATTGAGGCACTCGGGGGGCGAGAGCCGCCTCTGCACCTCTGCTACTGTCACTTTGTATTTTGACGTGGAGCTCAGGAGGGAAAGTCTCCCCGGAACCGAACAGAATACTTCATTGGGGTTTATGACCACTCCAATTAATCCATCCTTTTGGCAGGGGAGACTCAGAGCACTGTTTTTCGTTAAGGAAATGGGACCTGTGGGAGGAGGAGGGAAAGCAGGTATTTTATAACAGGGAAAAAATCAAGAGGAAGCTGCAAGTGACTTTCTTTCCTATAAAAATCCACGAAGGGACGGGATTTCGTTTTGCATTAAAAGCTCACACCACTGACTCCCATCACCAGATGCCATCTACAAGCACAGGGCTTGGCATCAACTGAAAGACCCTGCAACTATTCCTAAACAGCTGTATTTTGCCACCCCAAATTGCAAGGAGCTGCCAAACACAACTTTTTAAAAACGCACAAAACACATCTCTGAGCCAGCATGCTTCAAGTTAGCAAATCCATGCTTATAAAAAGCCTAGTAAAATGCAGACTCCAAATTAACATCATCCTGCAGCTACTGCCAAGAACCCTTTCTGAGCTGGGGCAGGGGGAAGCCTCCCAGCTCCTGCTGGGGTTTGTCTTCCACCTCGCACACGCAGATTTAAAAAACCGCCTTTGGAATTTAATCCCAACAAATTCGTAACAGACGGTACAACCGAGGGAGGGATGCAGCCCAGAAGAGAACTGAAACTAAAACGTTGCTCGTTAATGGCTTCAGCCTTTAGGTAAATAAGGACAACAAAGGCTTTGCAAGGAGCATGCCACAAATCCAGCTTTTCCATCCCCTTGCGAATCCACCCAGTTCCCCCGCAGTGGTGTGCTGCTGGCTCGCAGATCGAAAGGGTTAAAGAGCCGAGGTCGGCCCGGCTCCCCGGAGGGGGAGACTTTTTTCAGTGGTGCATCTGACAGCGAAATTATTCTCCCATGAGCTAAACGCAGCAATCAGCGCTCTGACAAACACTTCTGCTTTTCCTCAGTTAGGTATTTGTTTGAAGTCTTCAGAGGAAACTTCCACCGATTTTTTTAAGCGCGAATTTATTTAAAAACAAAAGCAGGAGGGGAAAAAAACACCTAAACGACTGAAAATTGGGTCAATACGTCTTTCTCCTTCCTTAAAACCTCAGCTACAAAACAATTTCGATTAAGATAAAACCGAGGAGGCTTATGCCAGCTTCAAGTCTTGTAAGGAAGTTGAAGGAAAAAAAAAAAAAGTCTTCGAGTGCTAGTAACAGCAACAATAAAAAAACCCAAACAAAAAGAAAATCAACCCTAAACAAAACAAATGAACAAGCCAGCCCGGTGCCACTATACACAAGCGTATTCCAGGACAGTATTAAATTCAGTCCAAGGTCCTGGTTTCGATTAAAGTCACACAAAAAAGCGGGGACAGGCAGTACCCCCGGAGGAGTCTCGCACCCCGGGCTCGATGCCGTCGCCCGACCGGGCAGCCTCGGGGCTTTGTCCCCACCATCCCCTTCCCTCGGGTGGCGTTAGGAAAACCCAGCGACGGAGACA